TAGATGGAAGAAGTCTGACTTGGGAGAACACAACCAGCCAGGGGAGTCAGCCGGGCCCAAATGCCAGTTTGACAGCAGTCAGGCTAGCGGACAGAGAAAACATTCACGCGTGTAGGCTTGCCATTCGTCACCTGCCCAGAAGGCATCAATGCGGTAACTGTGATTGGCTGTTCGCAGAAGTCGAGAACCGCCGTCGTGAGATTCTAGTGGAGTTCACTTCGACGCGAGCTAGTCACAACAGGCTCACTCTCGCCTGATGTTAACGCCTTCAAGCACACATCATGCCAGTAAGCAGACACACACGCGCGAAGGCCCCGAGCTTGCCGCTTCAGACCACCACTGAGGTTCTTTACGGAATACACATCTCCTACTTGTGTCTTTCCCTTTTTCTTACTGTGCGAAACTGGGCGCTATAATTGTAGTACTTTGAATAGAGTCAGGGCTTAGACCCCCTACAAGTTGATACCGAGACAGATTTGCGCGGATTGTATCATAGGCTCTTCACCCACTCACTTTGACCTGATGGCAAGACAATGTGGGTGTAGACTCAATGGCTGATAGGGCTAAACATACCGTCTACCCGAAATACACACACGACCTGGTTCCCATAACATTCGTCAGACTGTTGCAGGTGTCACGGATCTCACATGGCTGAGAGTGAACATTAAGCAGACGCAATTGCAGCCTAGCCCTCAGTCCTAAAAATGACCGACGTATCCAGTCGGTTGTCGGACTTCCAAGCCACGGCTCCTAGCGCGTTGTGTTAGATTTAGAAGCATAGTAGTATGTATTGCGCTGATTTGTCACGGTGATGGACCCCTACTATCCACCTGACTCCTATCTACCTTCTTCCTGTGCCAGTCCAATTTCCGAAAACGTGCTTACTACGAAATAAGTAGGCAGTTATGCAAATTAGAGGGCATAGTGGGCCCGATAATTGACTGCTACTCTCAATTCTGCCCCAGAAAACTCCCACGACAAAGTCCCCTCACCTAACTTCAGGCAGCCGGACCTGTGACCACTCTGATGACTTCAACTCGGGCAGACGTGCGTCTCTGGTCCCCATAACCGGCGCTTTGTAGAGCAGATTTTCTGTCCTCCTCATGGTCCCTGTCAGGTCGCTACTCGATCCGCTGATAAGTGCACCAAACTGACGATAACTGGAGCCAGCTCATCTCTGCGTCGTCTGATAATTATCCACAGGTGGTCACAACGCAAACAAAGGAATACATGCTCGGTGCAGTGGCCAAACGCGTCTAAACAGTTTTGATCGCCTAGGCGCCACTTGGGCGATAGCAACGCGGGTAAGGTTTTCTTTTAAGAAATACCACACTTTTTATACATAACTAACTACTTATTTCATTGTAGTAAGCCAGTTTTTGTGAACATATTTCAGCATTCACCCCCATCGCCTTCCCCAAACGGGAATCCTCAGCGTCCTGCGGTTAGTTTTAGTTTTTATTAGAAAGCGGTGGCAGATTTGAATAATGCCATTGACCCAATTGTGAAAAATTCCCGGCCTCGGTGGGATTCGAAGCCACGTCAACAAGGGAAGGCTTGAGCACAGTTTTGCTTGCTTTATTTTAGTTAATTCTACTTTTCAATTTAGTTATTTTAGTTTAGATTAGTTAACCTCAGTTTACTTAGTTTAGTTTTCGTTTATTATTGAGTGCTCTAACTTTTAATTTACTTCTTTTTAAGTTGAGTTTTTAGTTTAGTGTAATTTAGTTTTCTGTGTGACCTGCAGTTGCTTATACAAACGTGGTTTTTTGTTACTGTAATGCTCCTTATAAGGAATCCTTACTGCAACACGAGCAAATAGACACACCATCCCTCGGGTACTGTAACACACACCAAATGGACAACACAATAACTTTCTAATATAAGCGAAAATGCGAGTCGCAGGAAGTAATTGAGAAGTAGAATCAGCTCACAAGTAAAAGCATTTATCGATTTTTCCTGTACGTTTAAATTTTACGTCAGAACCCTGTGCACACACAAACTGTTTCTGCTACTGTTCTGTGAGTGTGTCTGTGATGATGAATCCGAGACGTATTTCGAAACGTCAGGCGAATAAATATATTGCCCCAGCGATCGAGTCGTCTTCTACATGAACTTTCGCCAAAAACCTAGTCTGCCACGAGTTTTATTGATCTCGCTTAGGCAACAGCAGACCTGGCTTGTCTAGCGCTCTCTGCTACCTGCCACAATAAATGTCTCCTTCTGGTGCCTTCGGTCCTTTTCTGCAACCTGGGATTTTATTAGATTGTAGTGCTCTAAATGCTACGAGACCTGTTTACGTGAATGTTCGCGTTTTTTTCCTGACCACAGAATTCCCTAGCAGAAAGTAAAAGTCACAGACTGCAAGAGATGTTCTCTTAATTCCGGCAATGGTAGTTTATAAAGTTGCTTTAACCCTAGCAAGGTGCAAAAACTATGCTCTCAGAGCTCCCGACATCTAGGCGTCAAGCTCTTCATTAAAGTGATACGACGCGTAAGGTGAAGGCGGAGCTTTGGGGCTTTTTTTCTTACGCCCCATCGTCGTAGTTGAAAAAACTAGGGAGCTTATCAGGTACTACGCTCGGTCTCCAGGTCTGAGGATCATTGTCCGGCTCACTGTCGAACCTGGACTCGTCTTCCTCATATTCATCGAGATCATCATCGGCTAGGTTCAATTCCAGATTTTGTGGTTTCTCGGAGACGGATATTCGTTTCGACGGTCTCTTTATCTTCATGGTTTCGTTGGCATGGCCCTCAGCTGTATGTCCCGTATAAAGTTCCAGCGCTCTGATGGTTTCCTCATCAAATATGGCAAGTTTTATGCGTGAGCTGGCCCTGAGGAACTCCATTATTTCCAAAATTAGTTCTTTGTTCATGGCATTATAGTCATGATAGGCCCGTAATATCTCGGTGTACATTCGCCCTGGCAGCCGATCCCAGACTTCCGCTATTTTAGCCCGCCTCGCGGTCTCTGCAGTGAACGCCGCTTCGTCCTCCTTCGGCGGCATAGGTTTCTCCAGACTTTCGGCATGCTCCCGCAGGTCAGATATGTTTTGAGAAATACTGTTCAGGATCCTAAAGAGCAACGTTCGGGTCATTTCCCTGCGGCGAAAGATTCGGCATTCGAAGAAGACCAAAAGACTAGGGCTCGGAATGTTGTAAAGAAGATCTGCTATGGTGTAATAGACACAAGAGATGAGCTGGTGGTGCACATCGGTGAAGTCATACGACTGTCTGGGGAAATGAAAGGGTTGCGGGGTAGCTCTTATCATCTGGAGGTCGGCGTGCTGTTCCAAAGCCTTTCGGTAAACACTGATTTGGTTATCCCTGGGAACCATAAGGACGGCTAGTAGACGGATGAGACTGTTAATTACATTATCCATGCCACCTTGCATGGCATTGTTAAATTTTCGCGCGAGATATGCGAAGGCCAGACAAGCCTCCTGAGCCACCTCCGGCTGTTCCGCTGTGAGGCAAGTCACCAATAAGTTGTTGAATCTAGTCGAGTGTTTTTCCATCCACTCGCGCATTGGAGGGAAGAAGCGTTGCGAGTTGGCCAGTTCACATAGTTCTCGCAGAGTAAGGCATTTCTCAACAACAGTGGCTCGTGGACCCTCCTCGGAGCCCCTATCCCCGTCAAAGGAAACACCTGAGAGGG